CCCCAAAACCCCAAAACCCCAAAACCCCAAAACCCCGGAAGAGCACTGGCTGGTTGAAACTGGGATTTTGGGAGGTGGAGAAGAAGGTTAGGAGTCAGAGTGGATTTTGGGTGGGGTTATGGGGGTGTGAAGGGGTGGAGAGGGGCCTTTGGTTGTGGTAGTGTTGTGAAGGGAGTGAGGGGGTTGAGGGAAGTGGAGTAGAGTAAAATGGGTTAGGGAAATTAGGAGATGGAATTTTGGAGTTGAGAAATGTTTAGAAATTTAATTTTATGGATAAGATTTAATAATTCATTTATGGTTTTGTAGAAAATAATATGGAGGTAGATCTTTTGAAACTAAAAAAATAAGGATAATTAAATTGTCATAAGAAATACTTACATCTATAACAGTTCTTTCTTGGATTATTTCCGAAATAAATCTTAGTTGTAGACATTTGTTTAGGCTTGATAGTTTCTCAGAGGCAATAAGTTGCCAAATAAGATGAAGAACTTTTGAGAAATTATAAATGAGCAAATATAGTCTCTCATAGATCCACTCAGTCGGACCATATTCAAAATATGATCTCTATTCTTCAAAGTATACCTCTTGCTCTGAAATCTCTAAGAACTCAGCTTTAAAGTGAGAGTTTTAATTACCTTTGAAGTTTCGGAATTTGAAGAACTTGATAGGGACCCTACACAGAGATAAACCATAGCTTTCTCAGCAAACTTAAGAAGCAAAATCTGAAACTCTCAGATAAGAGTTCTTTGAAATAAATAAAGCAAACGACCTTCAGATAGCTTCCCAGATGATGATAGTTTATGTCTTGAATTACTGACTAGCATAATAGTCTAGTTCGAAAGAAATCAGTGTACAGCTGTTCATAATGTTAGAAATTATAAGTCATTTCTCATTAGAAATGATTCTCAGCAATCATTTCATTCTAAAAGATAGCTTCATGCAGCTAGTTTCTCCTTAGGACAAAAATAGGCTAACAGAAGAGCTAAACAAGTGTTTCATATTTCTTCAATATTCTAGAAAAACTCTGAAAATTTTCTCTCTTGTGGCATGAGCTGCCAAGAAGAAAACTGAAGCTCTTTCAATGGTCAATTATGAGTCAATAGTATTTTTGATTTAATGAAATAGTACGTTAAACACTTTCTAAAGATAATGAGTCATCCTTTATTTAGCTAAATTCAACAATTCTTGTATATCATATTTTGGGATGAAGGTTTTCTAAGCAGCATAAGTTAAGACATATAATCATCCTTCACTAAATTCAAAGAACTCTATTATCTAAAATAATCAAGATGTCCATTGAAGTATCCTAGATGCTCTAGAAGTCACCATGAAGAAAGCTATTGAAGACCTTGTACTATTTAACTTGAACTTTTCCCTAAGTCGCACCATTTATAGAAATTAGACAACTAAATGAAAACTTAAAATTTGTTTTTGAAAATGAAGAGTTTTAAGGATGACAAAACTCAAGAGATTAGTATGGACCAGCCTCTTCTTCTTTAGTATTGATGATTTAAATTTGAATGAATTTAGACAGCTGTGACACTTCAGTCAGAAATTCTTATCTGTTAATTCAGAAAACATAAATAGAGGTTATGTATCTTCATAAAATCTGATATAGGGGAGCATATTTGAAATATTGATGAAAGTTCTTGATGGTAGAATTTTAACTTAGAGAAGGATCATACGAAAATTTAAACCATCAATAGACCTAAGTTGTATTATTTCACCTAAAAATATTGTTCAGACACCTAAAGCCTCCTCCCAAGAACAAAATCCATTGAAATTTTAGGAATTAAGAACGACTGTGTGTCTTCATGTGCTTGTTGTAGTTGCATTTCTGAGTGAACTCTTTTCCGCATGCCTGGCACTTGAACTGCTTGATCTTGTAGTGCATCTTCATGTGGAGGCTGAAGTTCCACTTCTTGTAGAAGACTTTTCTGCAGTTGCCGAATGAACACATGAACACTTTGTCGGCCTTTGCACTCACGGCTAGACTCAGTTAGACGGGCGAAGAGGAGAACTTGAAGGCTGAAAGCACTAACTCTTAGACTTGTTGTCTTTGATGTTGGAGTAGAGGGAGAGGATTTTGGGGTCAACTCTGTTCTCTTCGAGTATCTATATTAATTTTGGTTAGAGCCATTAAGAATTCAAATTTTGAATAAATTATGATAGAATACTTAATGATTCTCCAATATAAGAGATGAAGAATCTGAGTTTAAAACTGTTTTGAGTCAGAATAGGTTGTAATATTTTAGAGACAAATTTATCTTGCCTTTTTCTTTCATGCTTTGAAAATCCTTTCTAATTTATTAGCTAATGTAGTTGAAGAGGATGAATGATAATAAGAGAAATGTTGATAAGAGAAAAAGTTGCATGATAATCTTCTTAAGAATGCTAATTTTATTGCACCAAAGTATGAATCAAAATAATTAATAATGAGGAAAGGAGTCTGATATTTTTAATAAACTGCTTCACCGATTCTCCTTTGTAAATTAGGTTCGAGCTTAAAGTGTTAATAGTCAAAGATTTTGGTACTGAAAGACGTTAGATAGTCCTAACTTAATATAATGAGGCTCTTGCTAAAGTAGCTGAAATAAACTAGTATTCTAAAATGGCAGAAAATAGCAACATAAAGAAGCTTTATGGGATAAAAACCCCTCGAAATGAGCTAGAGTTTTATGAAATCTTTGAAGCAAGTACTCTTTAATAGGGGAGAGAAGAAAGACTTGAAGCATTAAACAAAGTTAATAATAGAATCAGATAACTCCTTTAAACCAACCCCATTATTACTCAAAATTTCTAAAATTTTCTCACTCTAAAAAGCAAGAAAAAGGACATAAACCCCCTCCACATCAATGACTACACCAGCCAAGCTTCCTCTTTCCTTAAAAATCCAAAATTCCCCTCTACATATTTATCCAGACTTCTACTTTCAAAAAATCTGACAAATTTCGAACCAGGAAATACAGATTGCTTAAAACCAACAAAACTTTAAATTGTTGGGCAAAGTTACTAATTTGGAGAAGCTGAAGCGAGGTTTTTTAATTGTGATGATTCTTACTGAAAAGACAACAGGATTGGATACTTGATGGTAGTCTTCAGGAGTGAGAGAAAGTATAGCATTTTTAAGGCCTCTGTTAGGAATAGGCAGTGCTTATTGGGTTTAGTGATAGAAGAATAGGAACTAGACTGTCTGAATTGGGATGATAATAATTTTTAGTCTCAGCAGTTGGAGGTATGAAAATGGCCTGAAATTGAGCAGTTTAGAGTACTATGACCATATAAAGCACGATTCTCCGAATTTTTGGTTCGGTCTTAATAAGTATAGCTTATATATGTCTAAAATTTACCTTTACAAAATGTAATTAAGATAGTATTTTAAAGAGCAATGATCGTGAGCTTTAGCTTTGAAGTGAGAAAAACTTTGAATCATCCTATACTCCCACATCTTCACCTGAAAACAAAGTCTCTCAATTATATGGTTAACAAAGACGAGTAATGAAACATCATAGTTTATTGAAAATTTTTCGAATAAACCATGACTAAATTTTATCGTACTAAATTAATGAAAGCTTTATGAGATATGACAGTAAAACTCAATTCAACGACATTTAATAACTCCAATTCATTTTCCTCATAATAATCATACAGTAAGAAATGGCTTCTCCTAAAGCATAACAGTTATTTACATCTTATCAAAAACTATTATGTAATAAACCCAGTAAATTTCTATTCAAATCAATTACCAGCATTCCAATCCTAACTTTCCCTTTACCTTACCCCTCAGACTACAACTGCTCACAGCCCAGGAATAATCATAATTCAGAATTTTGCCTAATCAATAGCACCCAAAAATCTACATCCTAAAACACAGAACAAGAGTACCATCTCTCCTTCCTCTCCCTTAAGCTATCCACCTTCCCACTCCAACCCTAGGCCAAGCCTCTCTCCTAAAATTATTCCTCTTCAGTAATCTCTGTAGCTAAATGGGACTCTAATTTTAGGGGAAGATTGAGGAATTTGGCAGGGAAATTAGGGATGGACTGTTGGAGGGAGAGATTTGAAGGGAGAGGTGGAATGGGGAGGTTTTGGGGGATTAGGAGTGTGGGTGGGATGGAGGGGTTGTGGTGGATGTAATGGTGGGTGAAAATTATTGTAAGAGTTTTGGGGGAGGAAACTGGTAGGGCAGTTGGTTAGAAGTCTAGTCTTACCTTTGAGTCTAAGCCTGGGTGGATGTACTGATTAGGGATTTCTGATTGCTGATGTAGGAGAGTTCTTGTTGTGGATGGGAAGTCACAGAATCAGTAGTCCTTGAGAATCATTTGTAAACTTGGAAGGTCTGTGAGAAACCCTGCAACTGAGTTCAATTCTGGAAGTGTAGCTTGATTGTCAGAAATCATTGAATTTTTGGAATAGTTTCCTAAGAAAGTCATAAAAATGCAATAGTGGGAACATTCTAACTGTAAAATTAATCTTGGAACAAAACCTAAAGATTTTATCCATTCCATTATTCAGGGAAGGACAGTTAGAGCATTTAAAGGCAAAGATAAGTACCTGATAAAGTAGCCATATTATAACTTGAGTGCATATCTAATTAATTAATTAGTTTCTACTGAGGGCTTATGTATTGGGGTTTTGGGGTTTTGGGGTTTTGGGG